AAGGTAACATTTGACTCTGTCGATAGTGAGGTTCTGTGGCAGTGTTTGCCACTGAAAGGAGTACCAAAGAAGTACATTGACCTTATACATGCTCTCTATTTCAACACAAGTGGCCGAGCGAGAGCTTATGGCGAACTGTCATCAGAATTGATTACCTCAAGTGGTGTTCGTCAGGGCTGTCCACTCTCCCCATTTTTGTTCAACTTTGTCGTCGTCGTACTTCTAGAGATAACACTTTCCTCATCTAAATTTTCAGGGGTTGAACTTCTACCGGGAGGTTTACTTGTTGACTTAGAATATGCTGATGAAATAGTTTTATTTGGTGAAGACGCTGACAAAATGCAGTCTTCTGACCACTCTAAGCAACAATGCATGCGTGTCGATCGCTTCACTTATCTTGGAAGTCTCATCAGCCCTTGTGGTCTGGTGTGTGACGAAATCTCAGCACGGATACAGAAGGCTCGACTAGCTTCTGCCAACTTGCGTCATTTATGACGTAGGCGAGATATCCGTCTATCAACCAAAGGACATGTTTACTACTCAGAAGTTCGTTATGTCCTACGTTATGGCTGTGAAACATGGCCGGAAAGAGTAGAGGATATTCGTACGTTACAAGTGTTCGATCATAGGTGTCTTCGAAATATTGCTCGTATATCCTGGGACCATCGAGTAATGCAGTTGTTAGGAAACGGGTACTAGGTAGTGATGGCAAATCAACTGATGAAGTTTCACTACTTCATCAGTTGAGATGGCTGGAACACGTATTACGTATGCCCAACCACCGACTGCCCCGACGTGCGATGTTTTATGGTGTAGGAGTAGGTTGGAAGAAAGCTAGGGGCTACCAGACCAAACCATGGCACAAATCCATGAAGTCATTGACAAGTGGACTGAGCCATGTTGATAGGTGTAGACTACCCGGTTGGGGTCCGCGAGATGACAGCAACCGATGGTTAAAGACCTTGAATGACATGGCTCAAAATCATTTGCAATGGTGCAGGTGCATCCACTCCTTGTGTCCTTCCAAATTCTAATCTTCTGAATTCTTCATGTCCCTTTTTTTCTTTCCGAGCTTATTTCACTAGATTATGCTCCTTGACTAACATCTTTAAACCCTAATATTTCCGATTACTGCTTATACTTTTACTAGCTTTACCACTATGGGATTTGAATCGACGATTGTATCTGTGTGCTAATATGGTATGAAAACTCGAACTGATGTACGAACGTACGAAGTTTTACTTTCTTGCAGGCTGACTAACTTACGATTTTACGTTTACAACACAATACTACTTTTTTGTGAATATATGGTTTTTTTCCTGATACAGAGTAAAAATTCTATCGTATGCCAGGTTGAAATAAGTTAGGCTTGTATAGATTACTTTAATTGCAATCAATCAAATTTTCTGATATATGTCTAGCTGACACTTGAGGATTACACTATTGAATTGAGCATCATTAACAAAAAAAAAAATAAATGACGAATTTATTCTACTTCGAGCCATGCTGTAGTGTGACAGCCATCGATTGTATGCTGTGGCTCGAACCGAAGAAGGTTGACAGGAGTTTGAACTTGCTAACTGTTAAAAGTGAAGTGTTTTTACCATTGCTCAAACACATGTATCAATACGTGATAATCCTACCTAACTAAATTGAATAGATGATCATTCACGACGGAATGTACAATGCTTGAAATCGATTATAACAGCCAATATCCATTCATCATTTTTTTCAAAATTTACCTTTAAATTTGGCATTATTTCATTTATTTCTCCATAGACTTCGATAGTTTAAGTCAGCATCTTGCTTAGTTATACCTTCTTCCTGTCCCATTACGTAGTGTGCATATTTGTGAGTTTATATCATCTCTCAAAGTAGGATATGTAGCAGTGAAACTCACTATTTTGCATACAAAATATATCAAATAAGTTAAACACAACTATTGAGTATTAGAAGATATATCAGGATGATTATTTTGGGCTAACAAACTTATTTACTCAGCTTACATATTCATCAATAACTTAAAACCTTGAACAAGCATCGACAAACGCATAAGTACAACACAAAGTTCAAAATATATAATTCAAATATGAACTGTAATGATAGGTCTGATGAAGCTAACCTAAAAAATTCTTCTCTTTCGCGTTCATCCAGTTCTTGTGTGATATAGTTCAGTGTACGTTCAATTTTCGGTATGATAACTAAAATAGATGTCAAATTACTAAATATGAGGGAAAATACTGAATTAATCCCATAACTACATACATTTTAGCGAAAATACAAGCAACAAAATATATAGTGACCGTAATATGATAGAGCAGTGATCGATATTACAAAGAATTATCGAAAGTATGAGCAATTATCTAGTTTGTCTGTTAAAGCTCAGGTTTTTGACGAATAAATCATTCAACTGCATAAGATCTAGACGATAACACACAGTCTACTAAATCTAAACAGGATGTTAGTTCCATGTTAACGAAGACAAACTGACTGTTCATAACAAAATATCTCAAGGAACTTAATATATTCAGAGCTAAAAACTGAAGAAAGAAATATGGGGACTACTTACAAGTATTACGAACTTCTCAATGCCAATGTCTGTTGCCTACAGAAGCTGAGATTTGAATTTCAAGATGCAGCTTACTGAAAGAAACTTCAAGAATATCTCGAACTTCGTACGATTTTGCGCTAAATAGTTAGTACGTAATTGCTATTCTGGTAAAAAAATGTTTTGCCCTGTTTTTAAACTTATTTTTGATTTTTGGGTCATTAAGTTGATTCCAGTCAGTAATCTACACTCAGTATATATAGTTTAATATACAACAATACTTTTCGCAGAAATAAAAGTTACACTGTCAAACGTGAGTTACAGTAGAAGAATAATCAGTATATGCTGGAATGTAAAAGATGAGATACACAACAAATAGGTGCGTGTAATATTGTTCTATCCTTAATAAAAATGTTTCTACCCAACTTCTAGGGATCAGTCCTATAGTACGTATCACCAGGACTGATTATCAGGCGGTTTGTAATTGTTTTAAATGTAACACATCAAGCGCACGCAAACTGAACACTTTGCTGACAACTCAGAAACAACTAATGCGCCTAAAGCAATTACCAATCCTGAGAATTCCTCAACCTCTAAATACAAAGCTGAGAGGACGAAAACCAAGGAGTAATAGACGCTTTCTGATGTATCTTTCGTGTAGCACTCTCCGTCTTCCCGACCGCTACTAATATACTACAATTTCTTATGTTTTTGTGATTAAAATGATGTGGACTCATTTTCTGATTAATGTATCGATCCTTGTTTTTAGTTAAACGATAAATAAACCATTCAACTACACCTCGAAAAGTAATTTTACGACGAAACATCAATGTGTAACAAATATGACTCAAACATAGAAAAATCTGACGAGTAAAATGTGTTTACCAAATTCAATAGCATTCACTCGACGATTAGTTGCTTTTATGATATCGTCTAGAGTAATGAAAGACGTTTGAAGAGATGCTAAGTCAACTAATAAATCAACAGCTTTGCTGTAGTTCTTTTTAAGTCGGTCGATTTGTTGACCACCACCAGCTAAACCTGTCAGTTCATATGCTACAGGATAGTGGAAAAAACAAACAAATTAGTAAATAAGCACTACATATCAAACGTATTTGATATAAAATATTTAGATTTCTCAAAAATAGAACACTACGGTTAAACCTAATTTAAGTACACAGTTCACGCCAAAGGATAAGTAAAATATACCATCATAGGACTGCTTTGACAAAAGCGGACTAAGACAATAGTGTTTTCAGACTATTTGAAGTATAGATAGACTTATAACCTATAGTCTTTGTGATGAAACCTAGGTTAAACCTACATTATATTCCGATGCTCGAATGAATCAGTGATCAAACAACAGTAGTCAACAAATATCCCTTGTTTTCAATGGTTGTTTCATATCCACAAACCAGAACAGAGAGAACTGCTGCGCAGTATACTTGTCCTTTGATTGGTAGACGTATACATCGCCTACGTCACCAGTAACACAAGTTAGTAAAAGTCTGGGTCAGTATCGAGGTTTCATCAGGCACCAGTCAACCAGGGTTAGCGAGAATTCAAGGATAAGTGGAGTGGATTCATAAACTAATTTGCTTCACTCCCTATCATTAGTTTAGGCAATGAGGCAAATTAGTCATGAAGCGAAATTTGCATTTAAGTGAAGAGAAAATTATTGTTTTTTAGGGTGGTTAAAATATCGCATTTCTCCAGCATTTTTATCAAGCAGAACAATTTCACCTATGTACTGTAAGTCAGCGAACAAGTCAAATAAATCAATTCCTGAAAAGTTATAGTACGAAAGAATTATATCCGAAAGAATAACTATGACGAAGTTCAATAAAAATGAACTGTGTAACTGAAGAACACCCTATATGTAGTTGGCACTTCTTATGACAGTTTGCCATGAGCTTTAACTCGACCGGAAATGTTTGAGTAGAGATGCTGTACAACGTTGATATACTTTACTTTAGTGTACTTTTGATAGCAAACACTGTCGCAGAACCTCTGAATCAACAGAGTCCAACGATGTTTTAAGGTCAAGGAATATATAACTACAGTTGGACATCATGAAGTATGTCCATGTTTCGTAGCGTATCGAAGGACTAATGTTTGATCGACATACTGATACGATGTCCAAAGATTAGGGCTATCAGTCAGGCCTTAATTGATTGGGGGAATGACTGACCTGGAAACTGATTTTCTCCAAACTCCCAGATCTTTTATTATGCTCATATACTTTAGATGAGCATGTTATTTTATTGCACGAGAAACTATTCATTTGGTTAGCGATTTTATCGTGATTTTTAATCGTTTAACGGCTCAAATCCATTATACGTTCATCACTCGTCCATACAATATTATATAGGTTTATCTATCGATTAGCATTCTATTGATTGGTTCTCATAATCGAAAATTTCGTGGTGTCTGATCACAGAAAACATGGGTTGGAGGCGAGACCCAACCAAGAAGAATCCTGAAGCTGGTTCTCGGGAGTTTTGAAGAAAGAGACATATTATTGAAAAACGCACCAAAAACTCGTGACTCAAATATCCGTATTCGACCAGATTGGCCGCTTGAGGATCGAATCAAGTGGAAGAATGCTCTTACGGAGTTGAGAACTCGCAAATTAAATGGCGAAAATAGCCTTACCATTATGGGTTTTCGAGTAGTCAGGTCTTGGAAGCCAATGCTTCCGAGGCCTGTATGGGTAGAACGATTGATTTCCAAAACACCTTAAGCTTGTGCTACATGAACGCTCGTAGTCCTAGAAATAAAACGTCCGCGCTAAGTCTGATGGTGGAAGAATTATGTCCCGATATAATCGTTGTTACAGAAACTTGGTTCACAGTAGATATAGACTGTTCTCCGTTCATTGCAGGCTATATCTGCATTAGAAGTGATAGAGTTTCAAGTCGCAAAGGGGGATGTATAATATTATACGTTAGGGATCACTTTCGTATACAATCAACCATACAGGAGGCTCATATCAGTGGCACATGTGAGGTCGCATGTTGTAAGATTAAATCTAGAAATGGGTTAGTGACTATAGGGGGAATATACCGTAGTCCGTCTTGTTTTGCTGACGACTTTATCCTAAGACACATCTGTTCTTGGAGTATGGCAGAATGTTGTCTCATCATTGGGGACTTCAACGCACCGCATATCAACTGGATAGAGCTTACAGCTCCAGGTAGTGGTTTCGATAGCGACCTTTTATCTACCGTTATTCAGTGTGTATCACAAAACCGACACATATTGATTTCAATCATGATCCGTCACTGCTGGACCTCGCCCTCACCCATCACTGTGAGGATGTCTTTGATACTCAGCACCTTCCCCCACTAGTGAACAGTGATCACGTTGTAATTCACTTTAAGTTTAGGACACATGGTATACAATTCGTATCTCCTCCACCTCGTCCCAATATCTGGCGAGCCAATATTCCGGCGATCAGAAACTGCGCTATCTCGACTGATTGATCGAAGATGAATGGAATAAGTTTAAGGCTACATTCGAGTCCGTAACGTCGCCGTTTATCCCATGGTCAGCACGTAAGCTATCACACTGCCCTCCATGGATTAATAAGGAAACCCAGAAGCTGTTAAAGCGTAGGAAACATTTCTGAGACTTATTCTTGTTGACAGGTCATGAACCATTTAAGCGTGAGTACCAAAAATTCCGTAATATCTGTAAGAAAACCATAGCCAAACCCCGTACCACTTACGAATGACAGTTAGTATATGACAGCCGTACTTGTCCGAAACGATTGTTTTCGTATGTTAAACGGCAAATGAAACGTAGTGATAGTATTCCCCCGTTGCTGTTACACGAAAATTCAGAATTACTAGCTGAATCAGATCGAGCAAAAGCTGAGACTTTTTCAAACTATTTTAGCGAAGTCTTCTCTACGTTTATTGTAACAAATACTTGTCCCACTCACACCGAGATACCAACCATGGAATCTGTACAGGTGACTGAGGAAACTGTCCTTCCGTTGATAACTAACCTCAAACCTGGTAAGACACCGGGCCCTGACGGGTTACATCCACTATCTTACCATGACCATAGAAACCGAAACATTTAAGCTATTGCGGGACACAATATACTTACAAATGTATATATAAGCTTGTATAATCACGTTAAAACTAATCAATGTGTGTGATAATATCAACTCAGTATTGGAGAACATTAATATACAATGGTATCAAAACCAAAAACTTTGAGATTGCAAGACCTAGTTTATCAGTACGAAGATTCACGCAATTTTGCACAAAGTCCAAACTTACTGTCAGATCCCTCCACAACGACTTTGAATACCGGCAACTGCACACCTGGAAAGTAAAGTGGTTTTTAATGTTCCAACCTGCAACATTTTCCTTATCTGTCTTGACTTTTCTTTGTGCCTTAGTTACGTTCTGGAGTACTAGGCTATTAATATTTGCTGCTGTTGTGAACTTAACACTAGCAAGTGAGAAATTAGCCTCTTTCATAACTTCGCCCATTGCTTGTTTAGCCTATACCTTTTAGTAAACAATTGATGAATTACCTGTATTATTTGCCTCAATATGCTACGGAAACGAACGGTTAAAGCATCTGCTTTTCGTTTTAGCAGTCTATGGCCTTTCTGAGCACCTTTAAGTCTCCCTTTCATAGCTGTTTGCGCCCTATTTGATTATGGGGAGAAAATTGTGTCGGGCAAATAAAAGAACTAACATCCGAGATGGAAATATGTTAAAACGATCTCCCTGTCCAGACATGTTGAGACTGAAGCTTAAATGTGACTAATAAGTTGCAACGACTTCTAATATGACATATAAATCCTAATGCGGAGAAATACTCAAATAACCCGCCCCTTTGTTGGTCGCAAAGTGAAGATTTCAATATCTTACTCAAAATACATGACTTTATATCTTAAAACGAGCTATATGTAGAACTGGTACTGTCAACATTTGTAAAATATTGCATGAAAATATCGTTCAGCGCAAAGTCTATAGTTTTTAAACTCTAACACTGACGTCAGTTCTAATACCAGTGTAGCGGTGAATAAATCCCCAATATAAATAGTTCCAAAAGTCCTCAACACTGATCCTGATCTCACTAATTTTTGTTGTACACCCTAGCTGAATGTGCTGGTTCGCAGATTGTCATTAGATCACGACTGGGTACTCCGTGTTACGCATACCCAGTTAGATCAGATGCTTCTCAATATGTCAATAACTTCTCAAATAAACCTTCGAATACACTGATTATTTACTTCTGACTTGGTTGTTATCCTTGGATCATGAAGGTTTTACGCGTGAGAGTGTTGTCAGTATCCGAATACCAGTGGCATCTGTATGTGTACATTCTAGTACAGTTCTATTTAAAATGGTGGGGCTTGAAGATGACACAGGTATTCAGTGTTTGACAACGCTTCAACCAGTAACACCTTCTAATATGATTCGTTCCCACCCAGAGAAATCAAAAGACAGAGTCGTGTATTCATTAGTCGCTGATTGGGATATTACAACCACTTATTTGAACTACGTCTAGCTGGCTGGATTGTTAGTTCCTTCATGTTAGTGGATGATTGAATTCACACTGTGTAAAGCTTCAAAATTAACAAGATATTTCTTAGATTCAGTGACTTGACAGTCGTCATTACTATAGTTCTCAGCGGTTTAAAATTTCTAGAATGCTAAACAAAGCCGTGGCAACTGACTATCCCAAACCAAGTAACTGACATGCACAAACTGAGAGAGACGAGTTAATGAATGTTGTTAACAAGCCATAAAAAGCATGTGAGTGGGACATCGAGCTTCTCAAGCAAGAAAAATTCAGGCAAGTAAGATAAATAAATACATAGGTTGTCACACTTAACCATATGTTCCTGCATAGAGACACTTATGTAATGCAATGATCTACTTTTTACAGACTGAAGCAGCACAACCATTCCGTCGGACTGGTTTATGGAAGCGCTTAAATATTTTGATCGTTTCCAGAGGGTGCTGCATAACCCCTTGAACTACTGGGCTGCGGGGTCCAAGAGTTGTCATGTGATGACGCAGTTTCCGATTTCGCTTCAAGTATTTCGTGTATGCCCAAAAAATCATGTGGAAGAACCTTATCTTAGCGACGTTTGTGAGAACTAATGAAGGTAAGTGGATCGAAAAGCGAAAAAACGAGAGAGGAGTGTGCAACAACTATAAGAACAGGCCCGGTGATCATAACGCTCGTTTCTTGTCTGCCTGTCCACCAAATGAAGACAATCTGCATATTGCCAAATGTTCAATATCATTGTGAAAAAGTCTGATGATTTTCCAGTTGCCTGAATTTTGTAACTTCGTCAAAATTGGTACAAGCTTCTAGCGGTTGCATATGGAATGACTCAGGGCATTCGAGTATTGGATCCCTTGATTTTATCCTCTTCAGATGTTACGAATACCATTCTCTGAGGGAATGTTTATTAGTCAAATTTTCATGTATTCAAATTTTATCTTGCCAACCTCCCCCACGATTTCTCAATTAATACTACTGTGCGAAAGTCAACAGGAAATTTTACTTCTCATTTCTTTGTTCATCCGGTAATATAATTATCATAAAAGTGGTAAAAGACTTGTAGAACTATGATCTACTATGATATTAGTGCTGCTCTAATAATAGACCTAATCCTAAATTGTAGATTTGTCATGATATAACTACCTAATCTATAAGATCTTACGTGGAAGTCACACCACCGACTACGCCAACTCACTGTATCGTATCAATTACCAATACATGATGTAGAACAAGGTTAGGCTAGAGAAGGAACAATATATTTAATGTGAATAGAAGATATAAGGTAACATTCAGATGGACCACGCCTGCATGGCCGAGCCATGCCATCCGATCAAACCCAGTCCACTCAATTCATTGTTCGCGCCTTCTCCATTGTTAGGTATTTCTCCGCGTTAAATAATGAATATCTATTTTCTGAGTAGTCTCGTGTTCACAGCTTTGTGGATTGTGTGGCTATTGTCCAATGCCACTACAGACTTTGTCATGATTTCGTTTCATATGTTGAGTTTTTTAATAAGCATTGAGAGAAGCTTAGGGCGCATTCACATTCAGAAGAAGAATTTAAATGCTTTTTTCTTTGTAAGTGGATTGCAATCATTGTCAGACTCAGACATTCCTACCAGTCTTACCTTGCAAGATATCACAAATGAACGTTGTCGTGTTAATAATCTTAAGAACTATACTAACTGATCGAATATTCGAATTTTTATCACACACTCCATTAATCCTTATTCATTTGATTTGATGAAATTTTCTCGGCAAGATCGTATTACTGATGTCTTAAAGCATGAATCATGAGAATTTTCTCGCCCAGCATGTTTATTTATCATCCTGAGCTCTAATCCATATCCCCCTCCAAGACCTCCCACTAGTTACTGAAATTGTGCGGCGTGACATTTCATCCGTCTCTGCTCACTCAGTAGTCACAAATGCGCAAAATGTAGAGTGGCTGGCAATAAGTGGGGTTTTGCAAACGAAAACTCTTATCGCTGTAGAATCCAAACGACGGGTTGACCTGAAGAATAGCCGTTCAGGTAGGTTAGACACGAACCCTTGCCCGTCAAAATTAAAACAAGTAATTGGGTAAATGACGGTTCTATAATTCATCGTAAAATTAAATGTACATCGTTACCTAAACAAATAATTCCACCCGGCTATTCAACCAGTAATTGTTCAATCAATCAAATATAAATTACAATAAATAAAGAAGTTGATAAAAGATGCGGGAAAAATTACCAGTCACAACAAATGAACGTTATTCTATCCTGACTGGATAGAACAAGCACAAAAGGAGGAGCAAATCAATATGACTGCCTTCAAGGACAAGTATCAAGCAAAACAACATAGATGCAGTCCGGGAAGAAACACAAAAACTTAGTGAAGGCGTAAGAAAAATAAGAACTACAATAAAAAATACAAATATTAACAGTTCAAATGTAATAAAAAAACTAACAATGTACAACTAAGGGAATCAATAGGAACAAAGTGCAAGTGTATATATGGAGGGATTTTCACACACACCAAACATTCAAAACGGATCTTCCAGTCGCATTGTCGAGTGTCAGAAAGAGTAAGTTTTGTACATGTTGTAGGGCCAGTGAAATGTCGCTGAGCCCTAGCCAAATCATCCGGCAGTTGTATCACTGAATGTCGAACAGATCATCGCTCCCTGCCAAGGTCATGTACAACCAACGCGCATTAGTTAATCGTATGCCATGGACTGGCCCATGCGGCAGTGTTCTTACTTTCGCTTGTATCTACTCTAACTAATATATTTCTGTAATAACGTCCTTTGTGTTGTACAGTCTTCAAAGCATCTATAGTACCTTGATACGTCAATGGGGGTAGTCCACGTAAGGTGCTGACCACGAGGTGTGACTTCGGCGTTAGTTGGTTCGTCACACCATTCAAGTCTAACTCGAGTAGGCCTCCAATCATTTCGACATAGATCATCTACGTT